CCTTGCTACTCAAGTTTTGAAGATTTTATTTAATCAGATACATGTATTCTTTACACATCAGTTTTTGGTGAAGATTTTGATCCCAGTAAAAGTAGAAATGTTTGAATGGTAAAAAAATAGGTCATGGGGAGATAAAATAAATAGATCATCGCTATTCCACGTACATCTGCTCTAAATATAGCACACACACTTGTTCATTAATGAGGTGTGTRGGCCTTTTATTCATTATTTAAATTGATTTTGATTGTAAAATAAAACGAAGCAAATATTCTATTCATTATACGTTGTGTTAGAGGAGTCTGGGGTCTATCGTTGGCGAAACAAAGTGTATATATATAAACTGACCAAGGCATTTGAGAACGACTATAAGACCTGCCCATAAGAACGGTCAGTCTTTTAGCTATCTGTTAGGWTAGTTTTAACACCGACAAAGCTACAAAATCTCATCGACATTTTCCTGTTAATTCCAGAAAATCAAAATGGCCGTTCTACTAAAGTCTCTTACAAGTATAGCTTTACTATTAGGAGTTATTCAAGTCATTACATGCCAGTTCGACGGGATGAAGATAGAATGTAAACCCAAAGACGTCACTGTTACTCTCAGTCATCCCGGCTGTACTCCAAAACAAGTCGTTGTATCAGCATGTGAGGGAACCTGTAGATCTCTAAGCTACATTCTGATGAAAAGACCGTGGTTTGATACTCTCTGTGAATGCTGTAAACGGACGGGAACAACCAAGAAACGAGTCAAGTTAGATTGTAAGGGAACATCGCACACTAAAGAAATTCGTTCCKCAAGTGGCTGTAAATGTCAACAATGCAAGTTTTAGAGACTTTTTAAATCTTTAAAAAAAATTGTTAAATAAGATGCTTTAATTATGATATACAATTTTTAACTGCTTTAAAAAGCCTGCAAATATTGATTAAAATACTGTCTGTTAAGGTTTTCAGCATTCTTCTGTATTGTTATATGTGTGTGTAATTTCAATCTGTTTATTCAGTGCTATAGATATATTTTTTTACTTCTTCATTTAATTTATTCCACTGCTTTCATTTGTCTTTTCGTTTTACCTGCAGTTTTTTAATCTTTTTCCATTC